TGGTACTTAAATTCAGAACTTTGGTAAACTGATCCTTCTGCTCTCAACTCCGTACAGTGCACTCATGGAAGTTAACATAAGCAAACTTAACTTAAATATGATACACAATACGAGCATGTAGATCTGTGGGAATTACACTCTAGCAACATCCAGAACCCAAGTCATGCGCTGTGTAAAAATATTTAGATTTGCCAGTGTGCATTGGGACCCTGTACCCAATGCACACTGTGCCAAATGGTAAACACAATAGTTGTATGTCTGCCCACACACTTACAGTACCCATCATAGATTAACAGACATCAATGACTCCTTTAAGCAAACTATCAAGCTTGTCAAAAGCTTCAAGTGATATCCTGAAGCCATTTGAGAACTTCTTTATCGCAGTTTGGAACCCGCTATTGGATTTCCTTAACTTCAATTTTCACATGTACCACAAGCTGAAACATCACTATTTTAGCATCACCTCCAGAGGGCAAATATGTGTTGAGAGGAACAAGGCGAAAAGAATGAAGAGCTGGCTCATGGCGGTGAACCACAGCCGTCAGAGTCAAACAGCTGAAAGCATGGAAACAGTGTGGAGCACTCCATCATGTCCTGAGCTGTATCCTTAGTTAAATTGGTCGAACATGCTGGAGCCAGGAGCAACTTTTTTGCTCGCGGAGCCATCTGGGACACAAACCTACATCACTGAAACCCCCATGTGAAGGTTTTAACAAAGCTGACATAGACCACGGTTGAATACATACAGTGCAGGGGCCTCAGAAAGCAAAGCAGCCCACTCAGCAACCTTATGAAAATGCTACATTTACTAAGCAAAACAGTGACACTTCTGACTTAATCAAAACCTAAAGGTAGCCATAGATGTCTCTGAAATGTGACACCCCCCCCCCTTCAAGTGAAACAACTGGTACCGGCACTAATTGAAATTTTGCATGCAAAGTGACAATGCCTGGGCCCTCGGCAGCATGGATTAAGGCTTGAATAGAGACAGATTCTTTGTGAAAGCCTACTGTGGCGGTTGGCGTGCAGGCCCGCTCCCCGCATCTGCTCATTGGGCGAACTGAGAAAACACTGGATTGTATACGGTCGCTCATTTTACCTTTATCTAATCCCATTTCAGAGCCCACCTCTGTGTGTCCTTTGTTACTCTCCCACAGAACGTAATGCTTCCATGTTACACTCACACATCCATTCCTTACAAAAAACTATTCCGGTCAAAAACAGCTACAGCATTTACATATGAAAGCATCTTTACCAAACTTGGCAGGATGTTCAAAACATTAACAATCATACTGAGCCTTGAGCGGTCATACTGATTATTTTTTGTGAGGAAAAATGGTACTGAAAAGAATATGCAATGTATGAAAATGTAATATAATGTACAAGATTAATTCAAATCAAACAATTGAAAAATGTTAAACTTGGCCGGTGTTTGCCAACTTTAAACTGAGTGGGCTCCGGTGCTCAACAGAGCGCTGGAGGAACGCAGCGCATATTGAAATGCAATCAAATGTGCTAGACATTTTTTAAAGACTCCATGCTGTGATCTCATTCTACCCTACTTCGCCATCCTCTACTGTGGTTTCTGTCCCATTAGGGTTCCTTCAAAGACAAAACAAAGACATTTGTTGTATCAAAGTCATTTAGCAGCCGGCGGACCCCAACAACAACAACTTGCACAAGTCTGGAGGAGGTTGTTGTTGCGACATGGCAACACCAATCGTCCCAGAAAACATTTGCTGTGTTTGCACGGTTCAAACTGTAATACCACAACAGAAGAAGGAGGGGGAGCAGGGGGGGGTGAAAGGCCAAATGATCCGTCTTGTACATTTCATCTGCTCCAAACAATACAGGCTACTGCAATTTCATAACCGGGAATGAATCGGAAAATATCCACTCAACAGAATTAGATGAGCGCCATTGTTAGCGTGGCTGTCAACTGAGCACTGATGACGATGAATGGGGTAAACTAATGACGGGATGTGTTTTCATAGACGTGCTGGACAGTCGGGCTAATTTCCTTGGCAGTTTTACCTCCATTCATTTTCAAAAAGAGCCCGTTTGTTCGTGTTAACTAAACCAATAAGAACTGGCTTCAATGGCAGATTGCGTTACCGCTAATCAACTATTTAGTTATTTCACCTCCCACGGGGTAAACTCATGTTGTAAACTAGTAAATGCTACTGATGAGTAAATAACATTAATATGCTGTCCAACATGGTGATTTTTACAAAAGAGTAGTCTGGATACATTTAGCTTATGGGCTAAATTCAAACATAAGCAACTCAAAGCATATTTCAAACTGGTGTGTCGACACTATTCACAAAATGGATACTAGTTACAACACACAGCTAGGATTTTCTTAAATTTGGCCCCAGTTTAATCCAATAATCCTCTCAAGTAAGGCCCCTGCCTGATTTATTGATTATTTGTAACAAGAAGTAATCCTTCACATCTTGTGCCACAGAATACTGCTACACTTCACTCACTGTGTTACTATTTCATTTGAACTCCACGCAAAAAGTAGCATATAGTTGTTGTTTTTCTTAAATCAAACCATTCCCACAGTATCATTCTCAAGCAATCAACGAATATTGCAAAGTAGCACACAATAACGTCCGTCATTAAAAAACAGAACAATGTGAAGATGTTACTCTTTATTAAACAAAATAACAATGGATCAAATGTAGTCTCCCGGCACTAAACGTGTCAAAGTGATCCACTCGGGTCTTCTTTTCCGTTGCATGCTGGGACGTTTTTTTTTTTTTCGGATTATGGCTGCAGTGACCTCTTTTTCAACCCTTTATTTCTCATACGTAAACCATCCTTGCAATTTCATTGGACAGTCGGCTAGGGTGATTCACAGGGTAAAATGGAGGGGGTCTGCATTGGGATGGCGGCGGGACTAGCTGGTGTGCGAATCAGAATGTAAAACACCAAGGGCCCGAAAGGCACTGCTTAGCATATATTACTGTATATGCAGTGAAACACTAAACATCAACGGCACTTTCCTTTTTCGAGTAAGAAGTGTACTTTAATACACTGAAAAAACTCCTGAGGAACTGTACGGATTGCTATTTGAGGCAGTGTATGCTCTCAGCTTACAAAACAGTATATTTTAGCATGCGGATATAGACAAACTGTAACCGTGGACATGTTTGCGTTTTAGAAAGACATAAACACGGGGAAATGGAACACTATGTTGTGTGAATACGTTGTTATTTTTGGCATTTTTCACATCCTGCAGTTCCTTTGCTTTTAGACAAAATGTTAAATGTAATCGACTAAAATGTTATGATAATAATCAAGCAACCATGATGTCCGTTATTAAAGGAAAACCAATCATATTTGTTAAATCAAGTTAATGCACAGAGATAGTACGAGTTTGCCTGAATATATTTTATGTAAATCTATTATATATTCAGATATGTTAATATTCAATACATTATTTAAAAGACTAAGACGTAGCACATGAATGTATGCATAACCATTTAATATTACCTGTTTTTTACTATGCTTGGGAAACGTTTTGAAATATGATGAAAGAGTATAAATTACGATAATATATTTTGAATATATTGGAATAAAATAAAAAATTAGGGATTGCATGAAATGCATGTTGTGGGCTACATTGTTTGTTCTATGTGTATTGTGTGGTTTAAGTGCACGGACTGTAACTATGTTGTCCTAAAATAATACATACTGGAATGATGTCTAGAGAAAATCTTTTAAAGCTTTGACAAAAATGTCAAACTTGCTAATGTGAACAAATCTAAGTAAGCTTTCAAGATTGCTTAGGTCTTGGATATGAAACTGCATTAAAACCATAACCAGCTGCAGACCAGCAGTCAGTAGAACTCTGCATAAATACGCACAGCGCTTGTCAAAGCCTGAGCCAGTCCTTCATTGAGCCTGACATGTCCTTTGAGATTTGTTTTACATATAAGGGACGTTACAAATTATTTGACAGTAAACATACAGCTAAATAGTTATCCTGTGGTTACATTTAAATGAGATTCTCCTTAAGTTCTCAGCTCCACCTGTAATTTCGAGGTTAAGTTAAACTGACCAGAGGAAGAAGATGTTTGTGTCCTGTCAGAATCCTGAAGATAGTCTGAATAAATGGATGACTGGGCTGACACTTTCCATTCCACATTGTGGCCAATGGCTCCTGTCTTGACACAGGGGAAACTGTGAATTAAAATGCAGCTTCATATCACACCCTTTAATTAAAAAAATAAATAATTGGCTTTCATAATCTCTAAAAAAATAAATAATAAAATGTCAGAATAATAGTCCCCATTAGTGCATAGGTCTTGTAATCTAGTAAACAAGTGTAATAAGATGACCAGTATTTTACTTTTGAGCATCACATAGGCCTACATACTGCTGTAAACACAGCACATATTATAGAGATGATTTTTGCCATTCAACCTGTTTCATTGTGCTTTGAGCCACGCTGCCTGCTGCCTTTTACTGCTTAGCAAAGCTTTCGGTACAAATGGCTGCATAGAGACCGGCATTGCCTTCTGTAAATGAAGTACGAAGATTTGTACTGTGTATTTAATGCGCATTTGGACTCGGACATACTAAAACAGGTTAAAGGAGACGTATATCTTTCACCAACTGAGACGAACCGGTGACACACCTCCACGGACACACAGCATGCGACCCTTTTGACAGATATGTAACGTTTTCTGCCTAGCGTTTGCTCATATTATTCCCTTATTAACGATATTAACACTCAGCAACATCAGTGTGGTCTACCTGCGGGGATGCGGGAGCGTGTTTTTGTCTCCCACCACCATCCCTTGCCTGAGCTGAGTGTGAGTAAACGCCACGTTGTAACAAATTAATACATATTTACGGGGATGAAAAGTGGTACATTTTCCGCAGGCTTGGTCAATTAAATGAACAAACGTCCATGCACACGCTTTGTCTCAAACTCAAAGCCGGCAAGATGCGGCTCTAACCGCGCTGGGATGAAAACATTAGCTTACCTTCAACAGCTATTACAGCCGGTATGGTCCATAATATCCATAGAATATCCATTATTGGTCACTTAAAACTCCCAGACATTCAAATAAAACAAGTCCCGGAAGCCATTGACAGCACAGACAGAGAAGGGACAGGCGGTCCTTCACCTCCAATAGAGCGACCCCAGATAGCAGAGAAAACCAACTCAAATCTGAACCAAGTTTGGGCTAAACCAAAAAAACGACAGACATAGGGGAGCATCGAGCAACACTGAAACACAGCAACGCAATTTTGCGCTACATTAATCACGTCGTTTTGCTATTGATTAAAAACTACTTGAAAATGTGTATCAGTTATGATGGAAGAGTTACAACATTTGAATTATCAGTGCAAACGCTCGTTAAAAAGGACCCTTGAACCCCTTCACAGCCACTTCAATTCACCCCGCTGTCAATCATCCAGAGGACAGTCCACACAGCCTTACCTAGTGATAATTAAGTGTTTTGGGACCATGTGGGACATTTATAAAAGATGGAGCTACTTATTCTCACCTCCACACCACTCGACCTGGCAATATTGGTGATTATATTGTCGGAAAAAGCTTCTGGGAGACCACTCTGATGCTCTAATCTGCACGTCTTGATAGACGTTTGGCGCTATAACAGGTGACAAACACGGAGAACAATTAAAGTAAGCTAACATTTTATTATACCTTATTTTCTTTCAATATTCATTTTTGAATTTGTTCCCACTTTACAGTTTTCCACTTAGCCTTCCACCTAGGGCCGTTTGATGTAATTTGCTTGTTTGGAAATGGATTTTTAACTGTAAAAAGTTGCAAATATTAAATATTAATATTGTATTACAATTATCTGATAATATCAGATTATCGTTAGTTTCAAGCAAGTTGTTCCTTTTCTTTATAAATTGGAGGGGTAAAGTTTTAAATTATTGTTTGAATGATATACGGATGATTTATATTCGTTTTATATACAATGTGTACATTTTAGCCTTTATCATTAATTGTATTAATTTAATTTTAATCTAATTAATTATTTAGCATAAAAAACACATTTCCTTAATCTTTACAGCAGCCACAGTATTTACTTATAATTGCATACTGTAAAGGTTCTTTATTATAGCATTGAAATTAGTTTACATTTGACATGCTATGATCTATATGATATGTAATTCAGGATAATACCTTTTTTTTGTTAGCTGTGTGTAATGTAACATTTGCTAGGCATAATTGCTTGAAAAAGAACTCGTCTGTATATATAATTCAACATTTGATTCATGTTAAAGCTTTTGTAGCCTAAATTGCTACTTTCCCCCTCTTTTTTTACAACAAGTCAGTTTTAAAGTCTGAACTAAATGCCCCTCTAATAAATTAAAAGCTATGAGACTGAATAGGCTGCAGACTGAAGGCCATTAGGCTACAATGGGGACTGGTCATGGTTATGGCTCTATTCATGCTGTAAAAAAGTGCAGTATGCCATGGTATTAAAGTGTAAGCTAGAAGGAGAAGTAGAAGGAGTTACAATTAATTCTATAATTGAATATAACAGGCTAGCTGAGTTTGCATCCACTCTCTTCAAAACAACCATTGAGTGATTTAAAAGAATTGTTAAGTCTAGTTAATGACTTGGCAGGATACAGGATTTATATCTGAGGGGTATATCTATTCATAATATAAAAATGAATGGATATCTAACAGTGAATATGAAAGCAATATCTATTGGTTGCATTGATTTTTTTTGCGCAGTAAACAAGCTGACATTTGCATTTGTAAGACTGCTACATCATTAATTTGATCAGTCGAGCAAGAGGTGCTTTAGAACAGTGGTTCCCAACCTTTTTTCCCAAGAGCCCCCCCAAATTACTCCTGTTGGAAGGGCCGCCCCCCCCCCCCACACACACTCACGGGGGGGGGCGCAACAGCGGTAATTCAAGTTTCAAAGTCTCAAAAATGCTACAACTACTGTCACAAACTGGATGAATGTGAAGTATTTTGTTAAAGGAGGATGAAAGCGTAATTAAGGAGCACTATTGGAGTGACTTTGATGGTTATTGGACTCAGGATTCATTCATTTGGATTCCCGCTGTATGAAGAAATTAAAGGACGGCGCGGGAGTGGAAACAATTCACAAAGGGATTAAACTGTTTAAAACACATGCTCAAAGTAAGCCGGATTTTGCCGATGTGTTTATGTGGATTCAAAAGTCGTAAATAATCAAAATGGAGGAGACCGATCTGATCGGAGCAACTGTGACAAATAATCCAACTGAAACCGGCATGGACAATGACTATTAAAAATGCGCTTATCCAGAAAAGCCTGGTTTGGACACTTTACGGGCAGAAGAAACATTTCTATCAAAGAAAAAATTATACATTTTTGTATTTTTATGCCATTAATAGCTACTAACTTGAATTTTTATTCAAATTAATTCATCAATGATTTGTTATATTGTATTGTAATGAAGAGACATGGCTTTTAGTAACAATCATGTATTGAGTTACAATTATATGTAAAAAAATAAATAAAAAAAGTCTAAATATGATATTTGGCCTCAAATCATCTGAGGCCTGGCGCCTCCCCTGCGATCTTTGGCGCCCCCCCAAGGGGGGCGCGCCCCCCAGGTTGGGAACCACTGCTTTAGAAGATAGGCTTGTAGCTAAATGGGGACCAGCCCTCCGTCCTCCATGCATCACAAGGAAGGCATCATGTGACTGAACAAGCCTTGTTGTCAATTGGGTAGATCTGAACAGCATTTGTTTCCAATAACCAAAGAGTGAACGCTGAAGTGAAATGTAACTTCCTCCAGAATGCAAAACTTTCCTTCCTGTTCATGAATCATCGTAGAGCCATAATCAGTTGATGTGGTCTTGGCTCAAAGTACTTTGAGACATGTCACAATGAATCATTAGAAATTATTTAAATTGAGCCGTGTTTGCATTGAGTTGATTTAAGTTGGCACGATGGAGTATTGTAGCAGCAATACTGGCAGTCACTTTACAACAAACGATAAAAATGCTGTACCTAAAATAAATATGCTTATTAATTATCATAACAACTTTTATGAGTTTCCGGCTGTTTTGGTAGAATTACTCAAAAAAGGTCCAAGTTGTCAGTGATGGAGGGCATAAAACGACATCTGGATTTATTGTGCAGGGCATGGCCATATTTTTTAATTCCCAAAGAGTAGTATGAAACCGATTTCCTGCTCCAGAAGCTGCTAGTAAAAATCCAGTTTCTTTAAAGAGAGTTATGATGGGTAAAGAATAAAACACAGGCTGCCTTTTTATATGACAAGCATGGAGACAGATGCCATAGGGACAGACTGAAGCAGCTGCAACAATTATAGATATCCTTTGTTTGAAGATACCCAGAGAGAATGCATGATACAAATGTATAATGTACACAAAAATGTCTAATTGCTTTCATACAAAGAAAGTGACAGACAGGGTGACTTGAGGCAGTCATGAAAATGTGGTTTCAGATGTGCCCATTGGAACAGTACAAAGGATGCAGCCCTAAAGAGATACCTCATTCATGGAAAATATGGAGTCACTAAAGCTGGACAAGAAACAAGAAACTAGGATAAATGATTTGTCATGAAACTTACTTTGTTCATGACGTGGCATAAGGCTGTATAAGCAGCAGGAATCGCATGGGTTAAACGAGCCAGGCTGATTTATTTGCCTCTACTGAGTTCCACTGTATTGATTCCAGGTCACTTGACTGGCTGACTTCAGATCATGTTCAGGTGACTTCAACACAGATGGAACAAACCGGCAGGGTACAGAGAAAGTAGCTTTCACCTCTATAATGAGTTCCATACAGATTCAATATTGACCTGAGCCAGAAGAGAAGTGAAAGATGTAGAAGAAACAATATTAATACTGCCCACAGAGATGTTTCTGCCACGCTATGTTAGAATGGCGGCATAGTAATAAAATATGTGTAATGCAAAGCAGAGATGGCTGAATTTGGCATAAATCCTCTCGTGCTCCTCTGTGTAATCCAACATAGAGTACATTACGTTCCCGAAGAAGCAGAATCACAGCAGCAAAGTTTAGCAGTAACGGTGGCTTCTGAAGTTTACAGTAAACATCAAACATACTCTAAAATACATGTGGTAAATTAACTCATAACAATTTGCACCAGGTGCACCAAAGACAAGTTGCTTTTATCATGCAGTCCACTATTGTTTGCGTTGAAGAGTCTACATCATGTGAAGGGATTTAAGTAAAGCTATAGCTGCATTAAATCAGAGCAGAATTTTCTTGAAATGATTTAGCGAGTAAGCATTTAAAAAAAATGCCATATGATATATATTTGTCTTTGTGTGTTAAGCATTAGTTCAAAACCACCGCAAATACTTTTATAACCATTTAAGTTGCCATTCACATTATAAGTTTACAATAGATTTTCTCTAACATTTTAATAAAAAGAAAAATGCTTTCTAATTTAATAACATCCAATAAAGCCCATACAAACTAAAATAAAAATTGATAGTGTTATTAATAGCAGCTTTTGTTACTTATTGGTAATATAATTGTCATTTAAGTTCAAAATCCCAGTTTCTGCCACTTACGTTTATTTCATAAATGTCTTGACCTTGCGAAGAAAAAAAAGGAAAATCAATTAATCTGATGTATCACAAAACATTTCAAGTGTAAATCTTAAATCGATCTATTTTAATAAGATGTTTAAATGATATTAAACCAGTCATAATGAGTATGCATGACATTCTTGAACACACATTGTACAGGGATGTATTAAACTTCATTGTCCTAGTTTCAAAGAGGGATCAAAATGTAAATGTAACATTTTATATAAAAATCTATGAAATACACAACCAAAACCAAACAAAAAATGTAAATATGTGTTGGGTTAGTATGTGAAGAGGAGACGTGGATTTACTTTCCAAAGACGTGCTATGTGTCGTTGCATCAACACTGCCACCCAGAGTTTAGAAAGTGAACATTAGTATTTATATCTTTCAATACACTGGTCATTTTCATCAAACACTTTGTACACTAAGGTCACTTCTTTTTTAAATCAATTGCAAGTGCAGCTTTTTATATTCTATGCCAGGTAATATTAATTAACTGCTATTTGAAAATTATTTAATATCCAGTGAGATTATGAAAAGGAAATGCTTGGTTG